ATAACACTGAAAGGCTACAATGCTACTTAAATAGTTCAAGGGCTAACCAAAGTTACCGAACACACTAGCAGATGCTCAGGTTAACCCATTAATGGACAAAAATCTTCCCTTGACAAGTACCTGTAAAATCATCTTGCAGTAGGCAGATTAAAATAATAAAGTAGGGTGCATGCATGGGCGTGCAATGGGATAGCACAAAGGGATAGCACAAAGGGCTAATGCCGAGTATTTATAAACCATATGGAATTGTCACAATTTTTTTAGTGTTTTGACTATACATGTAGGTAGCGTCGCTTTGCACATTCTTGGCAATACTCCCTGATGCACCCTTTATTTTACTCTGTCTGACACCAGACGACTTTTTTAAAGGAGAGAGTTTAAGGTTTACTTTCTTAATCGTTGAGAGGAGAACAAATTTAATAAGGAAATCGCATTCATGGCTTCAAATTCCAACGTTTTCCGGAGGAGAATGCCCTATAATAATGCCCCCCCCCATCTTTGGAAAACATCAACCCCTTCTCTAACAAGTGAAGCTTGATCCACCCGTGATTCATGTCAATATTTGCAAATATGTTCTGCTTTTCCATATATGTCTTATGTGTGTAGGGTGTACTTTTAAAAGCATTGTTTTTTTCTTAATACATTAATACATTTGCTGTTTTGTGTTCTTTGCTAGATAGATGTACACAGATCGTTACAATCCTATCCTGGTACTCATCAAATTTCCTTCAATCTTACATCATGTATATGTCTGCGGTAGACACAAACCTTGTAATGCAAGAAAATAGTGGATGACCCTGAATGCCTTTATATTTGTCATTTACAGAGGAAAGATTCTCCAAATGTGGAACGGACAGTTATTGAAGGTTAAATAAATAAATAATATATTCACATTTTTAGACAGTGTAGAAATTGTGCATTCATGAGTGTAAGCATGCATGTGTCAGTGTAGGTAGTGATAAACATTAAACAATATATATAGTTGCATCGAGTTACTTTTGCTTTGTAGTTATAAGTGGCAAAAAAAACCAAAGAAACTTCACTTGTCTTGACCTGTCATTCAACCAATATGGCCAAACGTTTGGCAAATTTTGCGTACCATAGTACAGTATATATGTATAATATAAATTATAGCCTATAGGCCGCATTGTGATTAAAGATCCCATATTTTCCATTTATATTTGTAAATATTTTAAAGTACATGTAATAAAGTGTATGCACAATTTCAATTATTAAAATATTCATTTCTTTTATCCAGATTCTGTAACACATTATTCATTTCTTTTATCCAGATTCTGTAACACATGTTGCGGGTTTGGAATTAATTAGAAACACTTGTACGTGTGTTGTTTAGCACACATAAAGGTGTGTTTTAGCAATCTACTATTGTGTGCTAAATAACACACCTTTTTAGATAACACACTTAACAATAACACACTGTTGTGTGTTTTTAAACCCACTGTTGTGTGCTAAATAACACACTTTTTTCAATAACACACGTAAAGCGTGTTAATTTTTGGACAAGCCAAAAACACACCCTAGGGTGTGTTATCTAACACACAGTGTGTTATATAACCCGTGTTAATTTCTGGACAAAATAAGTAGGTTATATAACACACTTATTTTTAAGAGTGTAGTGCTCCTCCATTTGGCTTATCAGACCATCTAACAATTGCCATGTGTCCTGGAACGAGGAAAAGATCGCACGAACCACAATCGCGTATTGTTAAAACAAGAGACAAGCGACCCAGTAATATTAGAAGTCTTGGTCGATTTCTCCAGGAAATTCCATGGGACATTTTATCGTCCATACCCTCAAATGATCAAAAACTATATTTTTTAACTAGCATTATAAACTATGGTTTGAACTTAATTATGCCTGAACGTTCAATAAAAGTCCACCCTAATGATCGACCATGGGTTAATAGCAATCTGAAATCACTGATAAATCGTCGACAAAAAGCCTTTGCATCTGGTAATGTCACTCTTTTTAAAATGTTACATAATAAAGTTAATCGTGAACGAAAACGTTGTCGTAAGAGCTATTATCAATCTAAAGTTCATAACTTACGTAACACTAACCCCCGAGATTGGTGGCGGGAAGTGAAGCAGTTGTGTGGCACATCTAAACTAAACAACAAAAGTGTAAAAGACCGCCTCCATCAAGATTTATGGCAGGAGACAGACATAAACCTCAGTAATAAAATTAACAATGTTTTTATAAATGTGATACAGAACTATGTTCCATTATCTGAAGATACGGCTGTAATTGTACACAACGATGAAACGCCTATTATTGTGACCGAGTCAACTATAGCTAGAAAATTGCAAGAAATTAATACATCGCGTTCCAGTGGCCCTGACGGTATTTCCAATTGGGTTTTAAAAACCTATTCGGATATTCTCGCCTCACCAGTTGCAAATATAATCAATTCTTCCTTTCAAAGTTGTAAAGTCCCTCAAATTTGGAAGCTGGCCGATGTGGTCCCCTTACCAAAAACATCTACTGTCAAAGACTTGGAAAGGGAATTACGACCTATTTCCTTAACTTCCACTCTATCAAAGATAGCGGAACGTCTTGTAATCGAAAGAGAAGTAAAACCAACTCTGTTAAAGGTTGTTGATCCCCAACAATTTGGCTTTATTCCAAATTCTTCCACTGTACTTGCCTTGATATCGATGCTCCATTGTTGGTTGAGTGCAACAGATGGAAGTGGTTCATCTGTTCGCACTGTATTTCTTGACTATAAAAAAGCATTTGACATGGTGGATCACACCACATTAGTTGCGAAATTATTCAGCCTTGGTATTAAGCCCTGTGTGGTTAACTGGATTA